AGAAGCCTCTGCTTCACCCTTTAGCCCTCACTCTCCATGACACTTTCTGTCCCTTTCTGGAATCCCAGGGCCTCCCTCCAGGATACCTGGGTCACACTCACCTGCAGGAAACCTGACTCAGCAGCACGTCAATCCCATCCAGTACAGCTTGTAACAAGCTTTGCTGCACCTGAACAAGAGCATCCTGAGTGCCCAAAGTCCCTGGTTTCCTCATCATCAGAACTCCCAGAGGCAGGTACGGGAAGGGCCAGGCCAGCACCACGGCCTTCAGGACCTCAGTGTGTCCCCTGGTGGTGGCCTCCATGAACACTGGTGGGAAGAGCACCCCTGGCAGATGTTCCACAGCCTCCATGGCCAAGGCCTTGTCCGTCAGCAAGCTCTGACTTGCCAATTGCAGTAGTGTGTGTGGGGACTCGGTGCTCATCCTGGTGAATCTGGAAGGCCAGGGGTGCTGGGGAAACACTGAGGAAACAGACATCCTTTCAGACAAGCCTGAAACACCACTTCTCACATATCAGGAACCAACCTGCAGCCAAAACATTCCTGCTCTGACAAGGGTTGATGAGTCTTCAGCTTATCTCCAATATATTTTTGCTTATGGTCCCAAAGCATTATCTCTGCTTACAGTGATACCAAGAAGCATGTCTGATAGCACCGTGATGACACAAGGTGATGAACAAAACATCCATTTCCTTCTCCAGCACCCTAAATTGTAGACCCTCTGGGAATTGGGAACCAAGGATTCAGAAACTGACTCCTATCGGTTTGGGGAAAATATTCTGATCCTCCCTCCATGGAAATGCATTGAATAAAATGGAAAAGCCATATGGCCCAGTCTCCAACTTATCAGTTCCCACAATGCACCTGGCCAAGAAAAATTAAGCAGACTATGAAAAGAATGCCATGAATTTTCATTGCAAATATTTATAGAACCCTAGATTCCCCTCCTACCCCAGAGCTGGCTGGAGGACAGACGTGTCTGTACTGTCTGCCTCCCTTCAGGTTCTCTGGGTCATCCACACCAAGTCTCTGGAAACAGAGACTCCATTGCATGACCCCTCAGCAGTGTGTGAATGGGCTGAGAATTTCTCAGACTGTGAAACCTCTTGTGGATGGAAACACAGTATAAACCCATGAAGTCATAGTTTAGAGTTAAGGCCTCTGTTATTCCTGAAGTTCTCTTTTAGAAGCAAAGTTATATTTGTTGGCAGAAACCCTATGCAATTTGGGGAAAGTCCAAGTGTCCTGTGCGGTTCTTTTTGCACAGGAGGTTTGCAAAGCGCTAACTTAAGAGCGTCCTTCAGCTCTTCGTGCTGCTGATGGGAGTCTGCACTGTGACCCATGCCTGGCCCCAGCATTCCTGCATCACAACAGGTTGCTGTGTAGCATGCATCTCTTCCGTGCATTCTTGGTTTTGTTCCTAAAGCCCCATACCCCTACCATGCTGCCAAAGCCAGTAGCCCCTGCTGAGGGATTACTAATACACTATTTCATTAAATTACCTAGCTGTGGGAGACATAGGATATTTCATTTTACAATATGAAAATAGGCATTTTTCTCACCACATCTCAAATTCCTGACTTTTTGAATTTCTGGGTGCTCTAGGAACATAGCCCTCAAATTTCAGGGGTCCCTGTACACCAATCAGAAGCTGTTGAAGTTGGGGCTTAAAAGATATAGGAGTATTTTAAAAATACTCTTCCATGTCTCTCCAGTGAATCTGTGCAGGATTTTCCCACCCTGTTACTGCCCACCCCATCCCCAATGCCAGCGTAGCCTCGTCCTACTGGTCTGTGCTGCAGAGATAAATGAGTGACCACTGCTGAGATACCCAGCTTTCTACATCCAGTAGGGCCCTCCCTGCTCTACCCCAGGCCTCACTCACCCTTAACCTGTTGCTCCTTCCTCACCCACACTTGCTGCCAGCAAGGGCCATGAGTGCTCAATTTTTGTCTTCAGACAGTCAGCGGGAGGATGAAGGGTGCAGGAGCCAGGGCTGGAGGTGGCACCCACAGAGGAAGGGGAGCTGATGGAACAGAGCAGTACTGAACCTCCCAGGATTTCCAGGCATGCAGAACTGAGACAGAGGGACCAGAAAGATTTCCTGTCCTCCCCACCTTCTCTCTTCTGCCTGTGGTCAGGGAGGTGTTGCCCTGGGCAGATGACTGAACCTCCCTGAGGTCCCTCTCAGGGAAGTCCAGAGAGCATGTCAGCATCTACCTCAGTGGCTCATGGCCATGTGAGCTCATTTCCAGAACTGACTTAGGCCAGCACTGGTGTTCCCATGGGCATCTACTGATGTCAGCCAGGTGTGGCAGCCACACCTCTAATCCCAGCACTCTGGAGCTGGGGGTAGAAGGTCACTGGGAATTCAAGGGTGACCTGGGCTACATCCTGAGTTCAAGGCTAACCCAGCTTCAAACAATAAACAAACCCAAACATAAAAACTTTAAATCTTTTGACATCTTGCTCTGAGAATTTCTTGTGAGACTGACCATGAAATCTCACTACAGCCTCCAAAGCCATGCTGTTGGATCAACTGCCCTTCATTATAATTTCTCAGAGACACAACAGGTAGAGATTGTTTGTTTACAAAAAACGTTCAAGTCAACAGGAACGCAGTCCCCTGTCTCCCTTCCTCGCAGGTCACAGCCATTGCTTGCAGCACTAAAGATGTCCAGTGAGCAAAGGTGAAATCCATGTGGCAAAGCCATAGAATACTTTAGAGTTAGGATGGAAAATGCTGAGATGTAAATTTCCACATATGCTTCTCACTTAAGAGAAACTTGCCACTTAGGGGTGGAGATGGGTATAACATTAATCCACCTTTTTTAAAAATTTTTTCTTTGTTTTGTCTCCTTGAGATGGAGTATCACTATGCAGTTCAGGATGGCCTTGAGCTCATTTCACAGCTGATAAGTCAGAAGGCAACCCGCACCCCATCCCCCGCTGGGGATTTAAGTTCTTTTATTAAGGACTTAATAAAAACTGCTTCCTCTTCACCTGTTCCCTTCCAGTGCCCTCCACAAAAGCCAACCCTGCCCTCATCTACCTTGGAAGAACCAGATGTTCAACTTTAACAAGTGACACCCTCTGCTCGGGCTGTTCTGACCCTTGGATATGCACTGCTCGAGCTGTTGTGGCCCGTGGACACCCCTCCCAGAAAATGTTCTGATCCACAGACACCGTCCCCAATAAACAGATCAAAAACCCCATGCTTTGTGCAGCTCAGGGATGTCCTTGTCTGCTGAGCAGCCCACCATGCCACGCTCCCCACGAAAAAGACTCCTCTCATGTCAGAATGTCTGGTGGCTCCATGTGCATCTCTGATTGATCATATCAATAGCCCACACTGGCCTGAAACTCACAATCTTCCTGCCTCAGCCTCCATAGTGGTGGAATTGCAAGCATGCGCCACCACACCCGGCCAATTTGTTTTCATTTTGTGAAACATAGTCTCAATATTTGGTTCACTCTGGCATTGAACTCACTGTGTAGACTTGGCTAACCTCAAACTCATGGAGATCCTCCTGCCTCACTCTCCTGAGTGATGTGTTAATAGGAATTGTCCACTCTGTACAACTGACACACTTGATAAAATATTGCATAGAATAATTCGTGCAGCATGGTGGCAATGTCTGTAATCCCAGCACTACAGAGACAGAGGCAAGAGGATGTTTGGGAGGTAAAGACCAGCCTGGGCTACATACTGAGCTCAAGGCCAGCCTGACCTGCCTACTGAGACCCTGTCTCACAAAGACAAATAAATTGCAGACAATGTTTTTCCTTTTTTTTGGGAAAAGAAAAATATGTATCTTCTCCATTTATATGATCACAAAGTTAATGCTAATTTTAAGGACCAGAGGAAAATGCATTTAAAAACCCAAAAATAGCAGTAGTGGTGCATGGAGTATGTTCCACCATCTATGATGCTATTCCTGCCTGAGAGCTTCCTGTCCAGCTCAGGGTACTTGTGATTCTGTGAAGCAAAAATTTGAAATGGAATAAATTTTGTATCCACTGAAGGCAATATGTTGGCAGAATCTTCTCCTGAAACCTGCCCAAAATGATAGCTGTGTATGTAATGAAATTTTCTCTCAGCTAAAGCAACATTCTGATTAAGTGAGAACCTTCTCAAAATAAATAACAAACCATGAGTGGTCACACACCCATGTAATCCCACCCCTCTGGGATGCTGAGGCAGTTTGATCACAAGTTTGATCTCGGCTTGTGCCACAAGCTCTGAGAATTGGTATAAAAATAAAACAGGACCAATGGGCTGCCATGTAGCTCAGTGCAAAGTTCTTAGTTTCAAATCCCAGTGCCACAAAATAATAAAACTTTAATGCCTTCAAAGGTAAGGGTTGATGAGCAGGCATGGTGGACCATGCCTGAAATGCCAGCATTTAGGAGGCTGAGGCAGACCTTACTGTGAGATGGAGGCCACCATGGCATACAGACTATATTCAAGACCAGACTGAACTACACAGTGAGACCTCTTAAATACACAAAAGGAAAGCAAAACAGAAATTTATAGCAGAAAAATCTACTTTCGATGAATGCCTCTCTATGTATTAAAGCAAAATCTAACTTCACATCTGTTCATCAGAATCTACACAAAAAGGAACACTGATGTAA